ATATTTTGCCTGTTTCATTTGCTGTTCAATATTAAACTAATTTTAATATCAACATAGAATGAATTAATCTCGTTTTAGTTTTTCATTCATTTATTTTTACAATGTATACAATATTATGTTTTTTTTTTTTAAACATCTCTTCCCACCTGACAGGCCAGGTGCAATGGGGATGCTTGAGATCTTGTTGGGGCGGGCTAAGTCAATACATGCCCCACTTTGCCCCCCCCCCCAACAGCTGGCCAGGTACTGAGAAGGTTCGTTCACAGCATAGCAGCAGGACCAGACTCACCTTTGGACCCGGATTGTTCTCATTTGGCCTTAGGGACCTGTATGTCTTGTAAGGTGATCAATCCCCCAAGCTATAGCTACTCAGAAATCTGTGTGAAGATCTTTCTCTGCGATTCAGAATGTTTGAAATTTTCATTGCATTTTAGGAATCCTGCATCTTTGGACAGTTTTGCTCAGATGTCTGGACATCTGTCCGTTTGTGTGGCCCCCTGACTCTGGCCAGAACACACCTAATGTTGAAAGATGGTCCAGACTCCAGACCTCGAATGTTGAGTAAGCATGTCGTAGGGATGATCTGTTTGCCGAGGGTGTTCCTAACGTTTTTTCTCGCGAGTTTTCAGGCTGATTAATGACTCAATTCAAACACACCTGTGAGTGGCCACTTTACACTGGGGGTGGAAACTAAAATATGTACAACATGGCTAGGAGAAGTACCAGCAGTCTCTTAATGCCACCATGGATTGATGAATCCACAATGTCTCACTGCTAGCACAATTCATATCAGGTTCCTAGAAGCAGGAATGAAGACCCATAAAGCAAGGAAGAAACCCTTCATCTATGAGAAGCAGGGAAGAGCCAGGCTGGAGTTTGCAGAAAAATAATGTATATTTTATACAGGTGCATACCCATAAACTGAGAAATTAGTGAAACTGAAATGTTTGCTGGGATCTCTTAAGTATTTCCAGAGCTGTACATTGTTGCCCCTCCCCCATTGGAAGGTGAGAGCAGAAACCAGAATCTTCTGGCTTTTCCGGCTTGGTGCCATTCACGGCTAGGGCCCCTCCCGCCCGAGTTCCTAGTCAGAAATTTCAACTGCAATGCCCCCTTAAGTCGGAATTCCTACTCAGAAAGTGGGAGAAATACCGACCCCGCCCTCAGAACGGACGATGGCTGCCCCCTTTATTAACAGAAGTTTAAGTTTTAAGTTAAGTTATACACTCACCTAAAGGATTATTAGGAACACCTGTTCAATTTCTCATTAATGCAATTATCTAATCAACCAATAACATAGCAGTTGCTTCAATGCATTTAGGGGTGTGGTCCTGGTCAAGACAATCTCCTGAACTCCAAACTGAATGTCAGAATGGGAAAGAAAGGTGATTTAAACAATTTTGAGCGTAACAGTTTTATTACCTTTTGTTTGTTTGCAAACTAACAAAAGATAATGATGGCTATTTTTAGGTTCTTAATGGAATATTATAGATTTGCTGTTAGATTTTTTGCGTGAGCGTGAGCGTGAGTGTCACGCCAGATGCGTGAGAGTTGGCAACCCTGTTTCCCCGGTATTGCTAAATGCTGTACTGGAACGTGCTTAACTCAGATGTGACGTCACCCCGAGCTTCGACTTCCGAGGTAAACGTAACGGAGATTGTTGAATGCATAAAAAAAAAAAAAAAACGTAACGTAGCATATAAGACCGGACTTACAGGCTCCTACACACTCTCACTCTTTTTCGCTGAAACCTTGGAACCTTCTCTCCACCTGTCACCATGGCGTTTATGCCCCCACCGGGTTACCTGTCTGTCTACAACCCTGTGAGTGTAACCTCCGCTCTCTCAGCGCTGTTCAAAACAAATCCAAAATGTTCTTCTGGCTGTTTTACCCGGGCTTGTCACTTTTACGTTTGTCTGGCGTCAGTGTTTCCTCGGTGTGGCTCTTATTTTGGATCGTATCTGTATCCTTCACAGTGCATCCCCTATCTGGGCCCTATCAATGGAGGACTGAGGCCAGGAATGTCCATCTACATGCAGGGGCATCTCCCTCATCACATGAAAAGGTGAGATCGCAGGTGGCGGTGCTGCGGGGGAGGCTATATGGAGCGCTGCCATTTTCAGTGTTCATCTGAGGTTTCACACCTGATGGTAAAAGTGGTGCGCAGAGTTTACTACAGATAGACAGCTGTGTGGTCAGGGCTGATCTCAGACCTGCTATGGGGTCGGAAAAGCTCAGAACATCTCAACACCCTTCTCTTAGCCAGCTGTGATCCGAGTGAATGTCGTTCTTTTCCCCAGTGTGATTAGGAGGCTGGTTATGGTCCGTGTACGCCAGTACGGCAATATAATTCGTTTTACGATTTTAGAATGGGGGGGGGGGGGCAAAAAAGAAAAACGGGTCATTTTAACCACTTTTTCTAGTAAAGGGAAAATTGGAAAGCGGGTTGTTTTGCGTTCATTTGTGTCTTTTTTTTTATAGAGAAGTAAGAGAACACTTCGTATTTCCCCTGGGTTGGGTTATATGTGCGCCTCATTGGCCAGGTAGATCACAAAGACCACGCCTCCCGCCAGCGCTCCCTGACTGCACGTTTACCTCAATGTGCGCTTGAGAACTTTTAAAATTATGACATTAAAGCAGGCTGAACCAAAGAACATTTTAGCTGTACTTCAACAAGCTTTGCCTTAATCTATGAACATAAAACGTTTAATCTGATTTAGCATATTTGTTATATATAGCCTATGATCTCATCATTCATTGTATGGCTATAATTTTTCATTGGGGTTTTTTTTTTTTTTTTTCCCCCCCCCCCCCCCCCTTTCTAAATTCTTGTCCTTCTATATAAAGCGACATTGCGCATGTTACCGTATACATGCCGTAAAGTTGAATTGTTGTTATTATGATTATAGTAGTAGTGGTATACATTTGCGTTGTTATCATTTTCAAGCTAAATTTCAAGATCCTATGACCTATATTATGGGATGGTCCATATGGCGTAAATGAAGCGCTGTATCAGCCTTAGATCAATAAGCACCCCGAGTCTTCAAAGTGGTGAGAAATGGTCGCACTCTTTCAGGTATAACACTTTACCCCCCTGAGACGTACTGTTATCTGTACATTCTGTTTTTTATAGGCATATTGATTGCTGTAGCAGGGGAATTCACTTCATCTGTTTAGAGCTAGGTTGCTGGATCGGAACGACCACGCGGCATCTGATTAAAGATGAGCACGGATTA